TTTCAATGTAAATTTCTTTCTTTCCCCATTTTATCCCCACATTTTTCTGCTCAATTCTTTCTTTCTTTCTTTCTTTCTTTCTTTCTTTCTTTCTTTGTGTTTTGCTTATGTCTTCGCTTCAAATATTCTTTATTCGCCGTTCCATACCCCGTCCACTTTCGTCTCATCTTTTTATTCTCATTTTTCGTTTTTTATTTATTTATTTATTTATTTTTTTTTATTTTTGTTCTCCATTTTCGGAATTGGTTCCTGTGTTTTCCGTAAGGAATTCATTCCAGATAAACAACCATTTGTAAAAGAATTCTTCATTCCTTTCAGGGATTCGGCACCGCCAGAATTCCTTTCGACTCAACACTCAATTGTTTCACTCAAAATTCCCTCGTCTAACAACAAAAAGGAATGCGTGTATAATTCTTGAAGAAATAATCCCGTTCACACGACGCAGCGCCCAGCTTGTCGATTGAAAGGAACGCCTTTCCATTTCCGGTTTCCTGTTCGAAACCGGGTTCGTTACCGGGTTCTACAACACAATCTTCTTTGAAGCCTTATGCGAGACATTTCCACAGGATCAAGCCAAACCAAAGGGTTAAAAGTTACTTGGATACACCTGAAGCCAAAGAAATAACAAAACTGCTTGATTTTTTCATATTTCGATATTTATTCACGTCATCTTCAGAAGTTCTTGATTGTTAATATAGTATCTTTTCGGGAGAAGTACTAATATTATTTTGAATTTTTATCAGTACTAGCTGTGGCCTGTCAGTCATTATTAACATGTAACTAGTATTTATTTCACGTTAATTTCAATTACTTTATTTCTACTAGTAGTATTAATAGCAGAAATATGAATTTTTATTAGATGAAGCATTGTCAGCTATTATCTATATACATAAAACATTGTGTGTGTGTCTGTCTGTGTGATATATTTTCACTCGAGATCCATCCAAACGATTTTGACCAAACTTGGCACATACATTGCACAATGTAAGAGATAGGTTCCTAGCGTAAAAGATCGATAATTTTAAAACAATCAATAATCAATAAAGCCGATCAAAAGTCGATGAATATAACTTTTTTCCCCCGATTTCATTCAAACTCGTTATGTAGGTTACTTACATCATGACGAGCTAAACGATACCTCACTGTGTTTAGCAAAAAACCGCGAAAAACGAAAAATCAACACAAATTGATTTCAACACAAATTTTCAACTAAAAACTCCCTCAATTTTCAAGCAATCTAATACAAACTTCACTCAATTGTAGCCAACAATAAATTGATTATTCAACACTCATTTAACTTAATAACTGAGTTCACCGATATAGGGAAAACCCGCGTAAATAGCGAAAAATGGCGATTTTTACTGGTTTCTTTCTTATTTTTCGTTGATCTTTCAACCAATTTTCATCAAACTTAACAATTGCTTTATAAATGTATCCTCTTTTACATCCCTGGTAGCACACTGACAAACTGAATTTCAAAAACTCATATGTCTTTCTTCATGTTTCCTGTTTTATCCCTTCCTGTCCTCGGATAACTTCGATTGAATAAATACAGACGACTTCTGTTATATCAGTAACTGCATTAATTCAAAATGTTTTTTAATGAAAGTACTTTAAACTAATTGTAGAAGATAGACTCTGTTACATCTAAACATGATGCAGTTTTTGCTCCATTCTAATTGAACGCTTTTTCTGATCGACCAGCTAGGGAATGGCTGTTAGTTAATGAATAATTAGTAAGTCTCTCATCTTAATTTAATCTTGCTTTCATCTCGTAGTATTAGTAGTAAAAATTCTAATTATCTAATTATATTAGATCAAGCATTGTCAACTATTATTAATTTTTGCCAAGTATTTCTTTCATGATAATTTCATTTGCTTTTAATGATAGTGTTATTTTGAATTTATTCTCAGATGAAGCAATTCAACACCCACACGGCCGGGTAAATGAACTTGGTCTTTGCCAAGGCTGGAAATGAGGAGTAGCTTAAATATGGCATCATTACTTCATTTCTAGTCTGATCTGACTTTTGTAAAGACCGATCATGTCAGAAGGAGTTCGGTAATTCTGATGCTGTAAAAGGAAACGACAATATTCCTAACATTTTTAGAGATGGATCATATATATGAGTTTCACTTGAAGTCTGGAGTGAGCTTGCGTCTCAGCAGTCGCTTAAAACGAGGAACCCCACTGATAATACGAACGAAGAATATCCTGGGACTGAAAATAATCACGAATTATCAATATACGACCGACCAAAAGATCTAATAAAAAATAAAAACAGGATTAAACTTAGGCAAGGAAAAATATCCAAATCCAGAAAGAAAAGACCAAAAAGGATCACAAAGTGCTCAAATTAAAGTGCTCAATGATTAGGTTGCCAATACAGCAAAAAATGCTTCACAGCGTCAGGCGTCAATGATGCACAGCTCGAGTCGCTTACTTAAGTTTCACGCTCAAGCGATCTTCAGGCGACTAGAACTCAAATGAAAAAAGAGG